TATATATATATATATATATATATACATACATACATAAAGGGTGATGAAACAGGAAGATTTTTTTTCCTTTGGTAAACTGATTAAATTCGAGTATATACACAAGAAAGGCAAAATGAAGTGCAATGAGGCAAAACTTGAGTGTCATTTTCCCTGTAAGCTGCAGGCACAGAACATTATTTGAAGCATATATCGATAGCTATATTTCTGATAAACACATGTGCAGAAAGGATGAGAGAAAACAAAACCACAGAAGAAACTCTGAAACTTCAAATTTATTTCATCTTGTTTGTATGYTGGTATCTGTGAGGAATTACAGTGACAAATAGCATTTGTACATGATCTCTCGTTAGTGCATAAAGAATAAAAAAGTAGCAGTTTTTTATTGAATTTTTATAGTTATATTATTAATAAATAAAGCCGGAGCATTTTAATATTCTAAAAAAACAGCAAAAGAAAAAGCACTTGGCAGTGTCTCCAACACATTACAGACATGATTATGATTTTTTGCAGCATGTAGTTTGGTTACGAGCACGTCAGTGGATATGAATCATATGTAAAACCTTTTCAGAGCGAGTCGAGTTTATAAGAAGCTGTCATCTCTTTGTGTGGCCCACATTATGTTCTTCCACCAGCACCACGCCCTCCCCTGCCCTCTCTCCTCGCTCGCCCTCTGACCTGTTTATTGTCCTGACGAGGTAATCTTTTCTGACGCTCCACTTTGATCCACCCTCCGTCGTTGACTTTGCCCCCCTCTTTTTCCTCGCTGGGGTTTCCTGTCACTGACAATATACCCGGTATCATTGGTGGGCGGTTCTGTAATGTGACACAGTAACTGTTGGATCGCGGCCTCCCCGGCTGCCGCGGGGATCTGCTGGACTTATAATGATTGTTGCTTCCTCTGTTATTTGTCCACGCGTGRCCCCTACCSTGCCCCCCTCCCCAAGCCGACGTGATGCTGTTTCTGTGGTGCTCGTGCGCCGCCGCCCCGGCGCTGCGTGGCCGCTCTCGYTCCGAGTTGCTCTCCGACGTGGTGCTGGAGGGGCTGCTGCCTTTCGACCCCAGGCTCAGCGGCGAGAGTTTGGCCGTGAGGCTGGCGGTTGGCGAGGAGCTGCGAGAGTTGTTCCAGGGAGACGGGCGGAGGTGGTTTGGAGAGCGGCGCACAGCTGCAGCGTAAGAAGACGCTTGGCTCTCGTGCGCCGAGAGGAACTGAGGCAGAGTGCGGGCCTCGGAGCTCGTCAGGGGAGCAGTCTTCTGCTGGGGCTTCTGGGTTATCATGTGYCTCTGCCTTACGTTATGCATCCACGTCGGGTCGATGTCTTCAACAAAGAACGTGCATCGTAAATTACACATTTGATCCGTTTTGAAAAAGGCAATGCACTAACAAAAAGAGAACATATTTACCACAGTTTGAGCTGTCACTGGGGTCTACATCATCKGGTGTTGCTTCGATGACGAGCTCCACGGTCTTGATCTCGTCTTGTCCACCACCATGRCTCCACGTCACCGTGCAGCTGTGTTTAGTCGTTTTTGGTGACTTTACATCGTTCTGAAAAGTTAAGAAAAACAAAAAGTGAACAACTTTAATCCTTAAACAGTGTTGGATTGTACTTTTACATTATCCCTTCTATGGCTCACCTCATAACTGACTATGTAGTCTATTCTTTGGTTCTGATTTAATCCAACAATCCACTTATCCATCAGAAAAGGAGGCTGCAACATAAGAACACAGGAAGACACTTGTATTGAATTTACATTCAGACTGAAGACAACTGCACTTTTTTATTGGTTCTCAAAGACATGTTTTTATCTCGTCTGAAAGGATTCACCAGTTAAATGATTGATTTGGTGTTTAAGCTGAGAAGCAAGAAAGGAAAATTAAGGTAACCGGGTTGCGACTGTTGGAAACTAGTTGGTGACTCAAAATGTGAGAAAATAGTCATTTTTTTCTATTGTAGCCTCATTGAGTGTTTCCAACCAAAAGACCAGCGAGCCATGTGGTATTTTGCACGGCCAGTTTTAAAAAATTAAGGCTTATTTTTAGGTGTCATTCTTTTTCTATGCTCACTTTTCCATGCATGGTTGCAGAGGATTAGTGCCTATCTCCAGTAGTTATTAGTCAGGACACACAGCTTGACAAGTCTTATGTGTACAGAGAATTATAACCAACATATTAAGCTTTTTTTCCATTTAATTAGTTGAAACTTTAATTAATCTGAACATAAGACTCTTAATATTTAAAATTTCTTACAAGATCCTGGGCACAATAGTTACACTATACATAAAATAAGAACAGAAAAGGTACAAGAAAGCAATAAGCAGTTGTTGTTTTCTGACTATACCTTAGTCATCCGCAGGGTCTCCACATCCTGTCTGTTGGCATTAAAGATGACGTCTTTGATGTAGGTTATAGCAATCTCATCTCCATCAAGTTCCATGTACATTTTCCATTTGCAGTCCTGGAAAGAAATAAACGATATAGTTAGATATTGTATGCTTGTTGCAATCAAAAACAATTTGAATGCGTGAAAAAAAAAAGTTTCTAAAAGCAAATGTCTGASAGGAGAAAATTGCACAGTCTTGAACATAAATCAACAGCACAACCTACAGGTAGTTTAACGGCAGTGGCAGGTTTCTGAAAGTGAGACACACATAATACAACCGAGTTTTATTAACAAGGACAGGTTATATTTTAAACGCAGTTTGTTGTAACGCTTACAGGATGTGAGAATTACTCGTTTAACAGAATTATAATTAGAAATAATAAAGAGACAAATTACAATTGTGTGTTTTTTTCCTGTAAGTYTAACATTTTATTGCATTTTTATAACAATCCAAGGTTATTTTTTTGGTACAGGTTGATTTAATGTGCGGACTGCTACACACATCACACCCAGTGGCACAAATCAGAGCCGAACCCACTTCTTCTGCRTACAGAATGCTGACACCGCAGTAATGAATCCTCCAATCCTAAAGAAGTGGGCCACAAAGCCACAGGTCACTGCTTAGCCATGCTGGGTTCGTGGCACAGGCCATTTCATTGTGTCGGGATCACAGAGAGAGACATCAGAGGAGTGGCACCGACACACTCGTCTGTGGAGCCTTCGACCTCTCCTTCATCGTCCCCGGGGGGCTGGAAACGGCTCAAAGAGGAAGCCTCAGCAAGCCTCTGGCTCAGAAACACACCAGTGGCCCCCGCGCTGGCCTGGTGTCGGCCCTGGACGGTCGCACCGGGGCTCCCAGGTCCGCGCTACTCTAATCACTCCAGCAGAAACAATGTCTGGTAATGATGCCTAGGACCCAAGTGCGTCTAATGACAACTCATACATAATTCAGCACCTTTCACTTGGCTGCACGGTGATATCCTCATTAGTAGGGGACCCTCAGTGGCTGTCAGATGGTGGCCGCACAATCGCAGGCCCTCATTTTGTCTTTGAGAAGTGCAGCTGCTTCCACGACATCGCCAGCAAAGAGGGGCAAAGAGGGGAAAAAAATGCAGTGCGGGTTTGTTTTATTTAGTGCAAAAAAACCTTCCAGTTTGTAAAAACAAGGCTGACACGGAACCTGACACCAGGCAGGGGAAAATAATTAGCTCTCATTTTCTCAGCCTCCTGTTTCCTTCTCCCTGCTGTGTTTTCTACCCACTAAACCACCACATGTCAGAAGAAATGGGAGGCAATTAGCAGGCTCGTTTCAGCCCTGCCGAACACACTGAAAGAGGACTATTTATGATGGGACAATGAACAGCTGAAAGATTAAATAACGTTTGCCTTTTAAAAG